GGTTAGCTACAAAAAGGAAATCCTGGGTATCCTGAGGATATAAAAGAACACACACTGCATGAGGCACTCTGCTTTTGTCCAAACATCTCAGAAAAAGGAGGTTTTAAAGGGCTTCGGTACAAGAACATGCTTTCTCTATGTACTGCTAATGCATATATGAGAGGTTTTACAACATCAAATCTATATGCAGGGAAGGTGTTTTCCTCACTAGCTCTCTTGCTACTACTGCCATTTAGGAAACCTGGCAAGCTGCAGATTGTTTACCTGCCTCTGAAGCCCGCTGCAAAATAAACCTTGCCCTCTCACGTTACGTATTTGCATTTCCATCTTTCAAATTTTGCCAGGCAGAAAGTGGTTTAGGATTCTTAAAATTAAGACAAGAAAAGGTGACAAAGCAAATGAATGACATTATCACGGCCAGTCTAAGTGGCCTAAGAACACTAAGAACACTTCAGGTCTCTCACTTTAATCTAACGCCACTGAAATCATTGCGAAGTCTGATAATAGGGATTTGGAGACAGAGGAAAAGTGGATCGTTGAGCTTATATCAGTGAAACAAGTCACTTTAGGCATTAAAAGAACAATGTTACCTTGATTATGCAAAAGGGTTAGCCAGCCTCTCCCAGATCATTTCCTATGAGATCATATGCAGACTTAGAAACAGAAGGGACTGGTTTCAGGAAGTTTGGAAGCCTTTTATGGATTCTATTAACAAGGTACAGACTGTTCCCTAAAACTGATAGTACATCAAATTCCATTATGGCCACATGCCCTTGGTTGGAATGCCTTTAGCATATATGATATTACCAGCAGCCACCAAAAAAAAGCAGCAATTCTGTCATTTAATCCCTGTGACTTTTTTTTTCGGAGTACTGAGTATTAATTGTCATTTTCTGGGTGTGGATAGCACACAACAGGTTACAATGACATACCTGTTATTTTCCCTAAATTTTAAAGCATCCTGCAGAGTTTAGCCACAAATTTGCAAAAAGCTAAATACCTGTCTTTCTTAGGAAAAAAAAAAAAGCTACACTGCAAGATTTTTGAATGATACCTAATAACAGTTAGAGGCCAATTTTGATTTTTCTTCTTCAGCAGAAAAACATAAATCTACACAAAACCACATCACTGTTTGAAAAATACATATTTTTTTTTTTGCTTTTTGAGGTCTTAGCTAGTGCGTTTCCTACCAAACACATTTTCCAATCAGTTTAGTTACCATATATTCATTCTTGATATAGGAAATTAGAAAGCAAACCAGCAACTGCACTCCTTTCCTAAGAATTAATGCCGTGCATTTTCTTACTTTTTAACATTTTACTTCTAGGCATTATTTTCCCGATGATGCATATGAACAAGGCAAATGCCTCGCATACACCAGGACTGCCCTGTGGTTCCAGGCAGACCCATGAGTCTATAAACACACCTCAAATGCTGTAACTGTGTTTGGAAAACATCAAGGCATTAGGAAGGCTCTGGCCTTCAGCCTCTTTAGCAAGGCTTATGCATCACTTGGGTTTCACGTTAACTCTTTGGCAATGCATGAAGTGCACGCTGAGCTTTATAAGACCTGCACTGTAAGAGGCTGAATTTCACTGTGGGAGGCAAAATAATCGGTTAATTGAATTAGCTAGCCTTCATCTATTTGTTAGCAATAATATTAGCAGATTTTGTTTTCAGTTTAAAGTAACACAATATTTTCAAACAGCAGCTCTCAAATAAAAGGAATAATCTTCCCTTCTCTTTACAGGTGGGGGAAGAGAGGCACGCATAAATGCAGTTACCTGCCGAAGCCCAGTTGGTCTTTCAACAGCAGCACCTCCTCCATCCCAGTGAAGCACTTTCCCACACCGGGCTGCACTTTCTCCTACCCTCTACACAATCCTAATGCTAATATAGCTGTGGCTGAAGAACTAAAACCTTTAGAATGCAGATTTCCCCAGCATCAAACTGCCATCTCTTATCTTATTTCTAATAAGACACATTTTTGTTCTTGTTGGGATTGAAGAGAAATTAAGCACCACCTGGGCAGAGGAATGAAAATTTTGCTATCTGTTTAACAATAACACTGTTCTCTGTGCCAAAGAGGATGCAACAATTAAGACAACCATAGCCTTTGCTCAGTTTGGGAAATAACCATCCCTGATACAATCTCCCAGGAATCCATCCCATCTATTTATAACTGAGTAAATATTAGAGGATTCACTTCTTTTGTCCTGAAAAAACAAGACCTTTGGCCTTAACATTTCTTTGGAAAGCGTTTCAGAGAATGCTGTTACTCTGCAACAATGTTTCCTTCCATTAAAATTTCCTCTTAAAATATATGGCCCAAAGGAGGAACACTAGACCTCAAATATACCACAAATATGGACAAGTCTGCCTGCAGGCATTTGGAGGCTGGGAATTTGCCCAAAACATTATCCTTACAGAATCAACTAACTCTGTTAGTCAGCATAGTTAACAGCCTCAAAAAAATAATTTTACTCTGACAGTCTTTGTCGGGACAGCTCACCAATTGCATATTGCACTGTTTTCCACTGCTTAAGGATTAATTATTCCCAAGGACACACTGAAGCCTTTACACTTCTACAAGCAAAAAGTATTTGGGAGCCAATACTATTCAGCAAACTATCACTTCTAGGTTTCTATTACTCCTGGCCTTAGCCCAGCTCACCCTGCCTCTCCTTTCTGTCTTCTCCTAACACAAGCTGTGGTAGCCAGAGCCCAGAAAAGCAGGGAAGCTACATCTGACCCCACAGACTCGGTATGCACTCAGGACTCTGCCCTGCTTGGGGCTCTTGTATTTACCTATTGAAGACCAGTCATCATAAAAGGCAGTCTACAAAAAGGATACAAGACAGGCAACATGACTCAAAGGCAAGTCTTCAGGTGCTATTTATTCACTAAGAGTTAATGCAGACAAAATAACCATCAGTTCTGCCATTTATATGACCATGACTTTTGGGACACTTCATAAAACTTTACCCTCACGGGAAAAGTCAAGATCAGATCTGTGACATCTCTCATCCAAGACACAGCCCTTGACAGGGGCCAGGCACTTCAGAGAGGTGTTCAACAAACAAGGTAACCATTCTAGGTAAGTCCCTTCCTCACCTCCTCCTTGAGTTTGGCTGTATCACTTAAGTTTTAAATCCCTTTTCATTGTTTTCCTTAGTCTTCACTACTATAATTCTGGATGATGTTATCATAGAATCATAGAATTGTCTAGGTTGGAAGGGACCTTAAATATCACCTATTACTATTTCATATAAATGTCTCATCCTTTTGGATCAGTGAATTTGCTACACATGACATCATAACCTCCACCTGTGTAGTCAGAATGATGGAGTTCCCTCACTTGGAGCAATTTGTGCTAAATGGCAATTATAAAACAAGTGCAGCCTGGGAACATTTATTATTATTATCATTGCTTACCAAGACTTCTATCAAGTGCTGAAGCAATAATCTTTTGAAAGGCAAATTTCCTCCCACCTGGCAAGCAGAATTGTTTTGCGTGTCCCTATCAAACTAAAACCAGAACACCTAGGGAATAGAGAGTCATTGACTTTGCTAACATATTCAGCAACATTATTATCTTAATGACATATAATAGTCTCCATATTCATAACCTTTCACTAGAAGAAAGGCTAGTATGGCTGTTGAGCTGAAGTAATTACCTCAGTCTGTACCCTGCGTGTACAACTGATGTGTATGTGGCAAAGATGACCGCACATAAGTTTAATGGCAAAGACAAATAAGAGTTAGGTCTTCTCAAGGGAAGAAATTCCCATTCAGGTATTGTCCAGGGACCAAAGGAACCACAACATGGAAGAATTCCTCCAGTGTTTCAGAGAACTAGATTACTGCACTTACTCATAATCCTTAGCACAAAAAATGTTAACAAAAAGAAACATCAAGGTGGAAGATTCCCAAGTAGCCAACCAATTTCTGACAGACAGTTCAATCAAGGACTACCATAAAGCATCTTCCCAATATTACCAAAGATAGGCCTCTGGTTTTTTTACAACCATATGCTAACTAAAATGTTGTTTGCTGCCTACTGACTTTCTTAAAACAGGGCTTTAGAAGAAATTTGGAAACAGGCAAAGACTCTTCATGAACTACAGAGTGGCAATACCTCCTGAGGATTTTCTGAAGTCTGGAAACGGCTCACTCATGAATTATTGCCTTGCTCCTTTCAGGGCCAAAACTAAATACTATGCTTCTCCGATTTAGATGAGACTACCAATAAAGTTTTCCTTAGAAGTCTCGAAAGGAGGGAGTTGATGCTGAATGAACAAAAAGCATTGTTCCAATAAAGATAGTAGAGCAAGGACAGGAACAGCAGAAGTATTGTTCAATAAAGTTAGTAGAGCAGGACAGGAACAAGATAACCACAAGGACGGGAGCAGCAGGCTACTTGAACAAGACAAAAACCCATTCAGGCAAAATGTTGCAACCTGCAAGTTGGCATGTAGACCAAGTATGCCCTTATTTAGTATTAAGACTCAAAGGTTCACCCAGGGGACAAGAATGACCAACAGAGGGTCCTAGAAGACCACCATGACCAGTAAGATGATCAACTGAGTTCGTGCAAAGGGGAGGATCCTTAGGATAATGAGTTCTGAGAAAAAGCATGAATGTGTATATTCGTTCTTTGAAAAGTGATTAATATGGATGGATTGTACTAATATAAACAATGTATTGAGCATCTTTGGGCATGCATGCTTTGCAGAATGATGCTCCATGCACCTGGTGCCAAATAAAAAGAATGCCTGCTTCTTAAGACTACCTTGGTGTTAAGGAGTTTATTCCTGATTTCAGTGACACCAATATATTAAATTAAGCTGAATAATAGCCACCCAGAATACCCTCTTTCCACATCAGATCTTGAGTTTCAAAGGAAACTAAGCTAAATCTAAAGTGCTGGTCATGACAGCAATTGTCTCAACTGAATAAAAATACCTCCAGAAAAAAAAAAAAAAAAATTAATATCTCACCAGTGATGATGCCCCTGAGCCTGGAAGATGCTGCCTCTTCAGCTCCCAGGGGATTCTTTGCGTAACCAAATGGTTATCACAGGCACTGCAACGACAGAAGTGTTTATGGGTGGGAATGAAGAGGGCTCCAAAGGCAGAAGAACTTTACAGTAAGGATGATCCAGAAATCAGACCAGATCTCGATCCTTCCTGTAGTTTCCAGATACTATTGCACCACTGACTAAGCTGACTTGCAACTCCTTTTCTTTTTCAAGTGCCTCCTCTGTGAGGAAGAAAATGCCAAGCGAGCAAGGGCAGACTGCACTACCCATCCAAGGTCCCATTTAGGACAAAGTGTTGCTTCTGCTTTCAGGGAAAACTGCTCCATATACCTGATCCTGCTGCCATGACCGTAACCCAATCACAGTGTAATGCAATCCTGAGAACAGCCTGGGAAGCATCAGCCACAGAACTGAGAATTTTAATAGCCAAACTGCATCGATTAACATGGAGCCAAACCTGATTATGCCGCCATGATTCACTTCACAAAAAATATCTGAGGGAATTCCCTGTTTGTTTTGGCAGCAGACCAGCACAGTTCCTTGATTGCTGGCTGCCTCCAGTCAAAGATGCAAAAACATTTGGCTATTTCTGCATAGCTGCTGGAGTGCATTTACGCAGTTTTCGGTGACAGGTTGTTTGTCTGTCTTTACATGTACTTAGCCACTTTGTGGCTAAGTGATAGAACAGCCACCTCCGAGTAATAGCGAGATTAAATGATAACAGCTTGGGCACTATGCGGCGAGACTGGAAATTGCCTTTGAGTGACGCCTCAGCGGGAGAACTGGAGGGAGTTCCTGGGAGAATAGACTCAGATATCCCACTTGGCAGAACATAAGCCAACTGGGAAGCTGCTCATGGGCTCTGCTGGCTCCCATCCCCTTTCGTCTACAGAGGCAGTGAAAAGACAAAACTTCCAAATACTCAAAAGGCAAAAAAGCTCTGGAAACAAGTCTGGAGAAATTTTATTTATCTGCTAAACCAGGTGAAGAAAGATCTCTCAAAAAAGAGCTTTTCTTCACAACCAGCCTTTCATTAGAAATACACGGTTTACCTTCCATGTTCTCCACCTAATCAGCAGATGTGTTTAAGAATATTCATTAGACTAGCTGGCTTGAGCAGAAGATTTGACAAAGCTCTGGAAAAATATATCATGCTGTTGCAAGTGACACTGCATTTTTGCACCATTTCTTCTAAATCCCTAAGCAGTAGCGTTGAGGGGGGCATTGCTTATCTTAGGGGATTTTGAGGGGTTTGTTTTAATTTTATACTGCCTGTCAAATGGCTGTCTTACGAAGGCAGCATGCGATAGAATGATGGGGGACTCAAAGTCTCCAATACACATACAGTACTCTGCTCCATCATGGCAAAACACAACTTGTACCCTATTGTTCTACAAAAACAAGAAACACCTTCACTGGGCCAAGAAATACCAAGATGGAAAATCACAGCTGTGTGCAGCTGAGGTGGTGGTTGCTACAGAAAGCTCTACCCCGGACTTTCCTAAGACTGCATCGCAGTAAGTGCTGAAGAGATCCACTTTTTCTGAGGTTTGCCAAATCCAGGAGATCGGGTGAGAAGAACACAGATTACCCCTGATCATTGCAAAGGTCCAGGTTTCTGAACTATCTCAGCCTCAATAAAAGTCCCATTAAAGTAAATAGCCGTGGAATGCTCTAATCCAGAGAAAAAGCTAGATCTAAAAATGCAAAACTGCTCCAGTCATTAATAAAATCCAATTATTAACATGCCATTCAGTAGTCAAGTAGCTACATGAGGTGATCTGGTTCTTTCAAGTAGGAATTCAGCTCTTACACTGCTCACCCTACATTACTTACTATGGAAAAAATCCACACTATCTTTTACATATGATGAGGAAAATAAACATTCAAATGTGCAGTATAGTAGACTTAACATTAATTTCTGTAGCTTCCTTACTCTTTAGATATTTCAGAAATAAATCTCCATCAAAAGGTGGACATTAGTCTTAATCAGAACATCTCATTTCCATTCAAGGGCTATCACTTAGACTTGTATCCTGTGATACCTTAACATCAAGTCATTCTCAAGTACTCACATTCACAAGGTGCATGCTCCTCACCAACCAAACAAGATTATTCACCCACTTGAAGCTAGGCACACGTTTCTTGACATAGAGCCAAAATACACATGCACAGCATATACTTGACCAGTGACATGTTTTTGTTTCATGGGCTGATTTTATTCTGTAGCCCAAAGCACAGTACCAAAAAAATAAAATAAGTCCATTATGTCACATGTTAATTCCTCAGTGAATAAAATTAATGAATATATTTTACACCACTTATTTCCCAACTGCAACGACATTTCCCATGAGGGTTTGTACCCTCAAAGCTATCAAAACCTGAGTTCTCTCCTAAAAGGAAACACTATGGAAAGGAAATATCTATGAAATGGAAGACTACGAATGAGTGAACACTAACTGACTAGGCAGGATTTGAGCCAGAGGAACATTTTACCCACTTGTTGATATACTTTTATACTATTTTATATCATATAGCCTGCAAAATATCAAAGTCAAGAGACACCAATAACTAAAAATATTGTATAAAACTGATCTATTTGGTTCATACTCAGGCGATCCCCAGATGCCACACCCAAAGAAAAGCTGAGACTTAATTATCTTGCCCTTCTTTCCTAAAAGAGGCCAAAGAGTGATACAACTGGATTTATCTTTTTGTTTCTTTAATCCTTCCTATAGATTATCACACCATTATATTTACTTACATATCAATCAACTAATTACCAGTTGGGAAAATGGCAGTACGGGTACCAAACCCAAGCAGCTGTGGAAACGTAAACTTTCTCTTCCTCCTCAGGTTGTCAGTATTATCTTGTTTTCATAATTTCATAGCTAGAGATAGCTACTTCTAAACAGAAAAGCAGACAATTTACATTTTTATAAGCAAACTAAAGCATGTTTTCACATTGCTCTTTTCCAAGATTAAATTCTGTTCTCTATAGGAAGGGGGAAATGATCATTTTCTGAAAATAAGGTCATTGCAGCTTAGATGAAAAGGCGTTAGTCTAATATTTTTTGAGAAATTCCTTTCTTTCAATTTAAGTCGACTACTAGAATAAGCAAGCTGCATTCTGTGGGTTACATTTGCATACTGGAGTAAGCTTTGTGTAAACAAGGTATAGCGCCGTAATTCTTTGTAGGTCAATCAAAACAACCAACTATACATTGTCTGTCTCTCCCTTTCCTCAAAAAAAAACACAGAATCACCATAGTTGGAAGGGACCTCTGAGATCATTGGGTCCAACCACAAAAAAAAAAATTTAGATGGTAGTCTCTCCATTAGCAAACAAAAACAGTGACACCAAGGGCTACCTACTTCCATTCTCCTGGAAGGGGCTTGACCCTCTTTTCTATAGCCTAAGTAAGGAAACAAAATGCCTTATTTCGTTTCCACACGCATGAAATGCCGTACCCTTTGAAGTTTTGTTTGGCCAAAATGTTGGGGACAACTCCCCCCCATTACGGCACAAACATTTAAATACCTGTAGAAATCAAACTGATTTCTGAACATCTTTGGAGCCCTGCCTCAGGGCTATGAAAGCAGGAGGCGTGAACAACAGCCAAGCAACTCATTGAAACCATATCAGGTATGGCGCTGTTTCAGAGGAAAGCATTATATGTGCTGAATTACCCTGCTTTCCAGCAAATCTGGCTGCAGAAGTTCCCAGGGATTTCTTGGCCTGTTTTATTCAGCTCCTGAGATCAAAAGACATCACAACCCCAGTGGATCTAGGCTGCAGATATTTTAAAGGAGACAAACGGCAAAAATACCTTTCAGTGCAACCAGCAACGCTATCTTCCACTTACAATCACCTTGAAGAGACAACGTGAAAACCACCACCCATCACAGACAGCAGCTCCTCTTTGATGTCCTAATAGCAAGCAACCCATGGTGCAGAATCACAGCCACATCTGAAATGCTCAATAGGGTAGTCATCCTCAGATGCAAATTCCCAGCTCTTACAGCTGGCTGGGCTGAAGACAGAAATGTGACTGAAAGGTCTAATAGGTTTCAGCTCACAGACTTCTCAGGTGCTTTGGAGAACTCGCCCTTAAACTGTCCTTTTTCACAAGCTTTATGTATATACTGATTAAATGGACACAGTTAAAACAATAATTCTGCCTGCCACAGCAAGGTAACTTGTACACTTTTATCTTACCTATTAAGTCCTTTAATTTCTCCTCTAACAGTATTTAAAAGAGACCTAAAGCGGTTTTGCCTGTTCTTGAACTAGAGTAGCAGTTACTTTTTCACAGTATTTTTCACTACCGATGTGAAAAAGCACAGTTAGACATAACCTTGCTCAATGCACAGCCTTTAGTCCCTTTCATGACTCAAGCAAGGAGCTTAATTTCTGATAATTTTTGTTAACAATTTGATGACAACTCAACATGTAATACTGAATTATGCAACGGGAAAATAAAAAAGCAATGCGGGTTTATCTGTTGTTTGCTTTGTCAGCCTACAAAAACACAGCATATGCATGAATGCTGCACATGTAGGGAGAACCCTGTCTTAAAATCTCTGATCAGACATTTTTGGTTAAAACTCCCACCATCCACCTATCCTACTGCCTCTATTAGTTCTGGTATCAATCATCAACAGAAACATTTGCATTTTAGAAAAGAATGGCTTTTTTGAGGATCCTTCAAGTCCTGCATATATATTTACCTCATAAAAGGTCACATCTTATTCTACACATTTTTCCCCTGGCATTTTTGTTCCATGTTTTTCTTTCTAGGAGACTGAAAGATAGAGATTCTGTACATTTTTGTGGGACAACTGCATCGGGCAGCCAGCCAAATCCTAAGCCAATATCAGCAGTGAATTTATAGCTCAAAGAGAAGAAAACTCTGAAGAGACAGCGGTTTGTGGGAGGGAGGTTTTGTTTGGTTTTGTTGTTTAAATCTGAAAAGCTGTTTTTGACAAGTTTGTCATCAGGCTCACAAAGAAAGAGTGGAATTTAAAGCATCATCTGCTCTGA